GATCGTGTTCAGTCCGAGGATATAAGACATGTTTGATATGTTTGGATGCTTTTAGAACACGTCGTTTTCATTTGTCATGCGACTCCTAGCAATGAGGTGCATGTTAATGCGCGAGTTTGTTGTGTTCAGGACAACATGAAAGTCTGGTAGCGCGTAATCCTAAATCATTCAATGTGGATCAGATTTGAAAAGTCGTGTAGTGTATTCAAGCCTTTTTCATACGGCACATTATAATGCTGTGATGCCTAAATTTACTTGTAACATTTAAAACCAATGATTTTAGTTTGTAGTGTTTTAGACAACATAGCTTAGAATATTAAAGGGTTAGTTCACCCAAAAATGAAAATTCTGTCATTAATTACTCACCCTCGTGTCGTTTCAAACCTGTAAGATTTTCATTCCATTTCGGAACTTTATTCAACAATTCTTCTCCTCTGGATCACCCTAGTGCCATTTTGGAGAGTATCACAACATGTTCTACGGCAGCAGCACCACACACATGCAGTGTTTACATGCAGAGAAAAGCATGCGCATGCATCGTGATACTCGCCAAAGAATTATTGAACAGTCTTTTTTTTTTTTTTTTTTTTTCTCCTTTGAGCACAAAAAGTATTCTCATAGATTCGTAAAATAGCGGTTAAACCACTGATGTCACATGGACTATTTTAACGATGTCCTTACCACATTTCTGGGCCTGGGAACATTTCAGTTGCATTGCCGTCTATGCAGGGTCAAAGAACTCTTGGATTTCATCAAAAATATCTTAATTTGTGTTCCGAAGATGAACGAAGGTCTTACAGCTTTGAAACGACACGTGGGTGAGTAATGACAATTTTCATTTTTGGGTGAATTATCCCTTTAATATTGGCCATTTATTATATATAACATAAGAATGATTATCAGCTTACCATATCAACACATCCATAGTTTAAGCACAAAATGGACTTTAAAAACCACACAAAGCGGTTACCTGTCCTGGTGTATAAACAGCATTCTGAAGTAGTTAGAGAATGCGGCCAGTACGGCCTTGTGTGCTTTGAAAAAGACATTGCCGATGGCGACCGTGCAGTCACACAGGAAGCCAAACTCCCTCTGCGCGTTGAGCTGCTGCAGAAGGATAAGACCATGATTGGCCAGCTCCATACTTCCACCTACACAGAAAGGGCCAGAGATGACAGTCAACTTCCTGTCTACTATAGACCACAATGCACACAAAAAAGACTGAGTGAAAGAAGGCTGTTAAGTTGTTTGTTGATATGGACTTAATCAGCAGTGAACCGCCGAAAATATGAATCCAACACTGTAAAACCAAATAATAAGCTAAACTCTACGATACACTTGGAATATGAATATTATAACTAGTAGGTGACTATTTCTCATAGTTAGGAGTTGAAGGGTTTGTTTAAACGTTTAACCCCAAGTATAACACTTTGGCACACAAACCTTCTCGCCATGATTTGTTTAACTAAAATGAACTTTGTTGCTTGTTGGAAGGTGTGCGGTTACTTTAAGTGATATGATTTAATTACAGTGCTTTTAAAGCAGTCCACACAGAGCTTTTAAGGCACAGCATTTCATTTATTTTGCCATTTTCTTTATACTGGCAAATCTACTTCCCACTCATATTTAAGACTAAGCAATTCCTATTGATCAAGCTGAAGGAAGGCTTTGTTGATTATGTATTCTCAAGACATTTACAAACAGAATGGCTCTAAATGGAGTGGTTTTCACCCCATTTGAATTTTTTTATATTCTCCCAAGATACATCTTCAAATATCTGAGACCTCTAATAATAACAACAAATCAGTTTTTTTTTTATTCTGGAGGGAAAAACAACAGGACAGAAAACACAAGTACATTATCGGAATAAGACTTGATTCTAATGTAATATCCATTAGAGATTTTATTTAAGACAACTAACTGGTAAGACCGCATAAAAACAGTCAGACTACCATGAGATCTCAACATTGTTACCCTGACAACATGGTCCCAACAGAGCAGTCAGATCCAGCCAAGGGTCAAACATCTGAGGCAACCTTTGAACACTGAACCCTGAGGTTATTAACCCTTATCTACCAGAACCAGCTCAACAGTCTCTATGCCTTGAATGTCCATTACCCTAAAGGTCAATCACAGGCTTTGTGTCACATGACTCGCTCTTCAGGCAGCATTCCTGAGGCTACTTCCTCTCAACCCCTCTTGAGTGGAGAACAGTCTACAAACCCACAAAGCCTACAGACCCACTACATGGGTTGTAATGTCACGTAGCTGTGCGTAAACACTGCAAAACAGGCATTTCTTAACAATAGTTTAAGTTTAGCTGGCTCCTTTCAATAGTCCAAACATGATTTTGGAATATACTGACACCTACTGGCCTGGATGTATGAAATTGGTTTACTAACTGCTGTTGCTGCTTCACACTGCAGCAACAGTCGTCGGTATAGTTGGTAAAGTCAGTGTGTCACTGCAGCTGCCGTTAAAAGTCCCGGTTGCTACAGAAACAGTCAGCGTTCTGAGACGTGCTCTTAGGACTGCGCATGTGCACTGGCTGATCTAGCCTGAAAAATACACTTTTTATAATGCTATTTGAGCAAAAGAAACAACATTTATGACACAGTTGTCAGATTTCTTTGGTGATTTCAAATATGAAATTTAATCGTAAGTTTAGTGAACAGTTTTGGAGAATTTGATGTTTCCTCATTCAAAGATATAGGAGTTGCACTTGCATGCCCGAGAGGCGTTTCAAAGATGGCCACTGAGTGACATGACTTGTCTTAAAAGGCCTTTGTTAAAAACCAAGGGGGAAACTAGTTATATATATATATATAATGTTTATTGCAATGCAAATACTTAAAGGAGACATATTATGCCCCTTTTTACAATATGTAATAAGTCTCTGGTGTCCCCAGAATGCATCTGTGACGTTTTAGTTCAAAATACCTCACAGATCATTTATTATATAATTTTGAAAATGCCTATTTTGAGTTGAAGCAGAAAAACACTTTTTCGTACCGGTCTCTTTAAATGCAAATGAGCTACTGTTCCCCACCCCCTTTTCCAGAATAGAGCTGTGCCATTACAGCTCGCACATGCTAAAAACATCTGTTATGGTTCTGATTATCATGTTTATCGTGCTGAAATCATGCATTTTAAACCATATTAGTTTAAACTTCTGATATACGGTTTTCTGAGCGCACAAATCCAAAGCACATGGACAGAAAGCAGCCGTCACAGCATGCGAGTACTAAACGAAGTTCTCAGTCACACAAGTTAACGTTAAAAACACACGAGTTACAAAAGCAGTCGGTTATGTCTGAAGGTAAACTGCTGGGAAATAAATCGCATGTTTATTTTAGATCTAAATAGTGTTCTGTTCTCGTCTGTGCAGACAAAGACAGAACAGTTAGCATGTTTTGCTCAAACTTTCGCTACGGTATTAGAACTACACCATTGTCGCTTGCGAAATCAAAATGACGGCGCTGTGGGTGGAAATTTACAGATTAAGGGGCAGTAATTTTATAATGAGTTCCCTTTGCAACTTCAAGGGAGCGAAATCAGACACTTGCAGAAAAAGGCTTACCAAAACAAAATGATTGGTTTATTTTTTTCACATTTCCTTGGCTGGTAGATGCGCGGGACATGATTATAGCACTTAAAACCAGGAAAAGTCAGATTTTCATGATGTCACCTTTAAGTATTTCTCTGATTGGTGGATATTTCCGTTGTTGACCTGATGTTTATTTAAATTATCATTTTAAAAAAAACAGCTCACAGTAGAGATTTATAAGTTATTGTTAAAGATAATTTCCCACATGGAGAAAATGCATGGGGTTTTTAGTTCCAGAAAGACTGTTGCCCACTGCGGTTCATTGTATGTGGTCATGTGATGTCAACATGGCAGCACCTATGAGGAAGTAGAATAAAACAGCCTTTTCTAGTAGACTGAAATGTCGGAATTTCTAATATAATTAAAGTCTGTTAAATTACTTTTGTGCAAAACGATTTGAATTAGACAAACTTCTTGAGTGGAGCTTTATTGAGTCACCCAGCATTCAGCAACCATCGAAATTTGTAGAAACACTGACATGACAGATTTTATGTTTCCTGGTACCTAAATATAAATATATAGCTTTGCAGTTCCACACACACACACAGAGAGATTACACGTCTAACTTCCAGTTCCAAACCACTCACTGTGGGTTTGTAAACTAGCTCCTCCCACTACGGAGGCACGTGGAACGGACAGATCTCCCGCAGAGACCGACCACTTCCGCAATCTGTTTTTCTTCGCAAATAGAAAATAAACCGTCAAAAACTGAAATGTGATGACTGATACGATCACGCGCAAACGCTCCCTGCTCGATCAGCACATGAGCCAACGACCTTCTCGTGAATATAGCTGAAAATTCACAACAATAACAGCGGTATAAACCCAGAACGGAGCTTAGCGAGCATCAAAATAAACGGAGCTTCGTGAAACGGACACCGAATAAATAAACTAAACGAAAAACAACAAATACAGAAATGAAGCACTAAATGATAAAGGTTGACGGGTGTAAACACAAGTACCTTTCCTCCGCTTGAGTGTGTGGAGTTGGGGGAGTTGTTGTCTGTCACCGGGGGACTTGTCCGTTGGGCTCGCAGCTGCTCTGTTCCTCTCAAACGCAGCATTGGCGGCGATGGTAGTCGGTGTTTTCCGGTCGGGTTACGTTACAATCACATGACTGTCTAAAAGGGCTTAAAAACAGAGGTTGTAAAACCCACTTCCCTGGGATGCCAAAACAAACGGTCTTTGGCGCTAAAAGCCGCCAAATGAGTGAACGTTACGGGTGTCGGTCTCCTCATGTGTTCACGGTGCGTTGGTGAACACGTTGGTGAACGTTACACATAAACGGATTTGAGTGGCGTTGGAAAGCCGTAGGTCACGCCACCCACCCCCACATGAAGATAACGTATCGAGACAGATACACGCAGAAGGGCTATTTGCATTTCAGTTGATGAATACATGCGAAGACAGCAGGACCTGATGGAAGACGGGAGGCCTGTCAGCTGGTTCAAGTCACCATGGCTCTATGTGGAGTGTTACATGTACCGGAGGATCCAAGAGGCTCTGTATATGAAGTAAGGCAAATCAGCTTACGACCATACATTGAGCAATCAAAAATTCAGTGAAATTATGACTGTGATTATTTTCACAGTTTACACAATTTAATTAAAAGTCAAAATATCGTAAAGTTGAATTGAACTTCATCATTTAATAGTAAAAAATTAACTTTTTTTCTATATAATTTATTCATGTTATACTCGATCATTAAATAAGTAGTAAATCTTAGTCTTCAAATGGACACATGGTCATATGGCATACATTAATTTACAATTAAAATGGTATTAATTAGGTATTTAAAACAAGTTAAATTAATGGGTAAAATCAGCAATAAAGAAAGTTATTTTAATAAGAGGACAGATTTATAACAGGAAGACCACTGCAATATGTACAGGTCTAAATGAATTTAAAGGTATGGCTTGCCTTAGAAATCCTATAGTGTTGCAATTGATGAAATAGTTTACATCATTTTTAGAGCCGTTGTAAATTAAAGGCGCTGATGGACATTTAAAGCGCTATCGTAAATGTGCTTTTAAATATTTTTGTAATCAATAATAGTGATTTAATAATTAACCAAGATTAATTGTACTCTCCATGTTGCATTGGTGCATTTTGAATTGTTTAACTGACTTGTTTCATTTTGTTTCCAAAGTCCACCGATGGATAAGTTTGACGTGTTTAAGGAGGGAAAGACGCAAAGCTTCTTTGAATCTCAACAAGCCATTAAATCCCTCTGTACATACCTTCAGGAGCTCATCACTAACATGGAGAACATGACTGAGATTCAGCTGCGAGACAGCTTTCTCAAGTTACTCCAGGTTAGTGTCTCCGTGATCCTAGCCGCAGCGCATAATGATCCCTTCCATTAAAAATAATTGTTATTGGGACATTATGTTTCTATGACATCAGAACACAACATCAAAAACTAGGAAAATCATCTTGTTTGCATGGAGATGGAAGATTCTAAGTGAATTCAGTGAGCCATAAGCTTAAAGAGTCACATCTTTAATTTAGAACAGAGAATCTTGTTACTCGAATGACATCCAGTTTGTGGTGCCAAGTAACATGCCTAGGGGTGGCTACTGTTTTCAGCATGCGCTTGTGTACTTTATTGATATTACACAGTTGGTGATAGCATAATGCCACATAATCTGGTTTACTGTGTGTTTTAAAGGTCTCTCTGTGGGGAAACAAGTGTGATCTGTCCATCTCTGCCGGTCAGGACAACTCTCAAAAGTCCAGTCCCATCGATTCTCTTCCTGATTTCCAGCGCTTCATCCTAGTGGATGACTCCAGCATGGTTTGGTCAACGCTGGTTGCTGCTCAAGGAGCCGGATCCTCTGGGATGAAGCATGCCAGAGTGGACATTATTTTAGACAATGCTGGTTTTGAGCTCGTTACCGATCTAGTCCTTGCTGACTTTCTTGTTTCTGCCGGACTAGCCAAGCAAATCCGATTTCATGGCAAGTCCATCCCGTGGTTTGTCTCAGACGTCACCAAACAAGACTTTGAGTGGACCATCATGCAGACCATGGCAGCCAATCACAAGTGGATGTCAGCCAGCGGTGTCCAATGGAAGCATTTCATGAAGGAGGGTACATGGTCTTACCATGACCACTTTTTTTGGACCTTGCCCCATGAGTTCTGTGACATGGCGATGGATGCAGCTGATCTCTACAGCACTCTCCAGGGCTCTGATCTGATTCTCTTCAAAGGAGACCTTAACTACCGGAAGCTTACTGGAGATAGGAAATGGGAGCACACGGTTCCGTTTGATCAAGCGCTGAGGGGGTTCCAGCCTGCCCCTCTCTGCAGTCTCAGGACACTGAAGGCTGATGTTCAGGTGGGCTTAAAGCCAGGCCAGGCCGAGAAGCTCAGCTCTCAGGATCCAGACTGGATGACTAATAGCAGATATGCAGTGGTTCAGTTTTCCAGTCCATGCAGAGAACAGTAGGGTCATTTTTAAAGAAAAGAGAGTCCTCACTAAAGAGGAAATTGCTGAGAAGAAAGAGATGAAGGAATAAATTGCACTGAAGATGCTGGTTTAGTTGCCAATATGCCAAACAAATGTGTTGTTTTATCTTTGCTTGTATAACAGTTGTTTCGGTTGGAAGCAAATCACGTAGTGAATCCTACCGATTGTGCATATCAAACACTGAAATTAATCTTAACCTAAATAATGTCCTTGTTGACCATCTCTTGATCACAGTATAAGATGTTCTGTTTGCACTGCTGATCTGTATTGTGTAGAAGTACAGTTACTTAAAAATACAGATGTATACATGGCAACAAAAAAAAACAAATCATATGAATCCATACATGTGTTGTTTAGTATGATACACAGTAAATAAAAAAGATACTGAACCTGAATTTTAACTTCTAGTTAAATGCTATTGACCAAAACACCTTCAGAATAGTGAGAAAGGTATATGCATTTGGGGCTAAAAATGTGCAGTATATAGATCTTTTTTTTTTTTTTTCAAATGTTCTAAGTTATGGGCTTTGCATGGCGTGCATAATTGAAAATAAGCAATTAAAGAAAACTATTTTTAATAAAACAATTCTAGTAGTGTAATGTCAACATGGAATGTATGAGGAGGGATTTGAATGTAAAGGGATTTGAAGTGTTGTCCAATGTTTTATTTTATTTTAAATTTTAAACACGTGAACAAATTCACAATGATTTCATAAGGAAATACGTTCTGCTTTCTGGCTGACAAAAAACATACTGACCATACATATCTCAGAGAGTTATTGTTGTTTACAGTTTGGATTGACTAGCACTTTCAAAGCAAGTTTACCAGGTTTTCCAGTGTCTGTTGGGATGAAAATTGCACCATGATGATTTCTTTTAGCTTATTTATGAGCATGCTGGAAACAGATGCTAGTCAGGACACCGTGTTTATGTACTCACACTTGTTAAAATTATAACTGTTTTGAAAATTGAATGCCACTGAATAAAGTTTAGTATGGAGCCAGAATGATCTCAATAATAATTCACGCAAAAGACGCGATGCACACTTGCGTAACCCAATTCACATGCATGAGAAATAATTCACGCGCACAATATATATATATATATATATATTCACAAAAAAAACAATTCAAATGCACCACAATAAGAATATATATTCATAAAATGCGTTTCACAAATGCAAAACACAATTCACAGATGTACAAATGTGTACAAAATGTTTTTTGAATGTTAAAAATTCAGGAGTTTATCATGGGCTGTGAATGTGAATCGCCTTGGATTTGTGTGAGAATTTTGAGACCTTTCTGGCACCGAACTCCTCCCACGCGGGACACTCATACTCTTTAGCCAATCAGATTTGACCCTGTCTGTCGACCAATCATAACCCACTGTGGGCGTATGAATCGCGTGCCTACCTGGATGCCGACGTCATCAGAGCGAGACCACAGTTCAAGTTATGATTTAGCTGAGGTGAGTGCAGTTGATCGCTTTATTTCAGTTACCTAGCCAAGTCAAGGTTTATCGTTTTATTTTTGCATGTTTACTTAAAACTTGGAAGTAAAATTGGTCATTTAGACACTCGCTAACATGAACAATGTAAGCCAGCGGCTGCTGTTTAGAGTATTATGATTTAATATTGATAAATTCTTATGTTTATTTAATAAAGAATCATTATCCACGTGGATACCATACCACATTAAGATATTAGATTCAGAAACTCAGTGAAAAGCATAAAATAATGTTTTTACTTATGGGACATGTGGTAAATAAATAGAAGATTATGAAAATATACTTTTTGTTTATTGAGAATATGAAAGAGCTGTCACAGCAGAGCTTGTCTTGTGTGTAAAGTCCTGTGGTGGCGCGCATACAAGTGATGACAGTGTGATAACATGCACACATTGGAGACCGTGTACATTTCATTTAAGTTTGTTTATGCTGCAGATACTATTTATTTCAGCATTGTGAGGCTGATGATGGATAAGTAGCTGCTGAGACTATTCCTACTTCATCCCCTGCCACAAGTTATGAGCTGATGTGAATCTAGAAGTTTCATCTGGAACTGTAACTCTTTCAGAACAGTCATGTTGCAACCCATTCTTTTTGACAGTTTCAACAGCTTTTTAAGTCATGCGTTATTACTACATTTTTTGTTTTGTTTATAACAGGACCCCATAACTTTGTACATGTTCAAGGTGTAAAGCTTTATGCATTGTTAAATGTTCTTGTTATTGTTCTGGTGTTATGTCAGAATTAAAACATTCAAAACAAGTCAGTTGTTACAGTTGCTGTATAAGATTTATTAAAGTTTTCTGAATACTTTGGGAATGAAATGTCCATGAAATGACCGGACCATGATTAATTGCAATGTGCCTGTAACATGAAATATGAATGGACAATCGGTCTTTGTCAGTCACGTGCGTTTATTATGTGTGACGTCACCG